GTGCAACTCCATTGGGAAATATCGCTATATAATATTGAGATGTTGAATCAAAAGGGAAACTTGCAACGAAGTCTGACGATGCTGCGTCTTAGAAACTAAATAGGTAACGCGTTTAAATGGAAACTGGAGGCATACTTGAAAAATGTTAGTACTTTAAGAACGACGAATGCGCTATAATATATACATATACATATATATATATTATATTACATATACGTCACTTTTCGCGACGTACAAGAGTCCCTTTGTATCTTACGATCGCCGGCGAGAAGACGAAGAAGAGTGAAACGAAGCAGAGAAAAAAAAGAAAGAAAGAAAATTTTATCGCGTTTATATGGAATCCAGTGTATCCAAATGAAAGGTTTGACAAACATCGAATATCAGGTTCGTACTTCCAAAAGGGAACACCATAACGATCTGTCTTTGCGTGGCGCGCCCGATGCCCGAGTCTTGCAGAAAACGAAAAGTAACGAAATTTCCTTGTAAATTGTCACGAGTCCTTTTTGCGATACTTCGAAATTCCTACGATTTCATCACGTTTTTCCTCCGAGACTTTTCTATGTTCTGCCAGCGACAGTCACACGGTTGTTCTCTTTTAGGGGTTGCAACTCGAACGAGGGCGCGTGCGTGCGCGCGAACTTTCGCAAGACAGATCCATCGAAAACGAGAAGCAAAGTTGACGAAAAATAGAAGACTAGGAAAAGCCGCCCTCGAATTAAAACGAACTCGCCCTCTTTCCCTTCCTCCGGAGGAGATACTGTCAACACCCTTATATAATACCCCCTCTCTCTTCTCCGTTCCTCGATAGTATATATCTAGCCACGTAACGAAACGGAAATAGAAGAAAAGAAGCGAAATCACGAGCCCGAGAAAAGAAAGAAAGAAAGAAAGAAAAAAAATATGGGTTTGGATGACGCTACGAAGGGCATTTTTTTAACGCATCTCGATCAAACGACCGGCGCCGGTCGTCACACGGAGCCGCCCTCTTCTCTTAGATTTAATAAGAATGACCGATTCCCCCCCGCCGCCCTCCTCTTTCCGACGGTCCACTCTCGCAAGCGTCGTGTATATCTCGAAGATCAAAAAAAAAGAAAAAAAGAAAAAAAAATGAAAAAAAGGAAAAAAAGAAAAAAAAATGTATGGGAAGAAGTGTGAAATGGGAAGGAAACCATTTACGTCCGCGTGATCTCGAACAGGAGAGGCGCGTGCATTTTCGTTCGACTCACGATCGATTGTACCGTCTTTTTCGCGGTGTCGGGGGAAATGAGAAACGTCTACGTTGGCGGGCTTCTCTTCCGTTCGCCACCGGTGGTTTTGATTTATACTCGGTTCGTTTTTTTTTTTTTTTTCTTTCGCGCTGCCGAGCCATCGGCACATTTACCACCTGGGGGTTGAATTGCGATTTCCTTGAAATCTCCTAAATGTTTCGTTGCATTTCCCTACGAAGCGTTCGCAGTTTCTGCGACGTGCAATTTTTCTTTTTTTTTTATTTCGCTGTTGTCGTCGTCACACACAGTGTCGATGATAAATT